TATATATATATATATTGTTGAGATGTGCCCGTGAATCACTCCCACGGAATAAAGCGTAAGAGAGGAGAGAGAGAGAGAGCGAAAGAGGGAATTGTACAATAATGAACAATAATATGAATTTTTAATTAGATTTCTTATTAAAATTTCCCCTTATTTATAGAGAAGGGGGTACTATATATGAAATTACATGTTTGCCCCTGCCTTCATAATGATTTTACAGTATATTTTATGTATTTTACATATATAAACTTACGGTTCGGCTACCCTATGACTCAGTTGGTTGGATTTCGTGGCTCTTTGTTCGGTTAAGACCTATTAGTTCGATTGTGTTGAATCGGGGTTGTCGGTTACCTTTGATGGTCTTCTGGTTGGCAAGTTTTGGCTCGATCGACTTGGCTTTGTTGGTCGGCTATTCTAGTTTGGCTATCGACTATAGATCCTTATTTGAGGAGTTCCTTTCGGCAGAATGAGACTGTGCTATCTGGCAGATAGTGAATCACCGTAATCCGACAGATAGCTCACTTCTTAATGAGGTGTCTTTTTGGATACTTCGTTGATTACATTATGACCTGTTCTCGACAGCTAATGAAGAATTATAAGGGTGCCCGTAAAATGGTCGACAATAATGAATTCTTCTCTTGAGTCGAATTGTGGTTGAGGCAGGTCAATACCTCTGCTAGACTTGGTTAGCCTTATTCCTTGGTTCATATGGTTTGCATCTGGTCGGTCTCTATACCCGATTTCGGGGGTTGCGTCTAGTTAAGTGGGTCATTTGATCTTCTGCTAATGGAAGCTTTGGTCTTCTGCTAAATGGGCCATCTTTGTTGTAATTCTGTCTCCTTGTCTGTTGGATCTCCTTGAGATTTTTGCTCACGTGTTTCAAATGTATGTGTGTGTGTAAAAGAAAATTTATAGAATAATTGTGTTATTAATATAAATATCCCTAAATACAAAATGCAGTAAGATCCCCAAAGTTGAGATCCTCTTGAAACACAGGTGAGACCTGGAAAAAGCAAGTGACTTAGTCGACAGAGTCAAAAGAAAACGATTGCCAATCCAAGCTAGTTTGTGGTTCCTCCAGCATTGCGATTACTTGCGATTATCAATGGCAAGGTTATGATGGCTTCTTGATGATTCTAATTTACCTCAACAACGAGCACAGGCCCCTGTGGACTTAATCTCGGACGACGAACGCTCGTTGGTTGCAGAATTGTGGTCAATAAAGAGTGAGTACGGGAACACGCTTGACGACAATCAACGACACGTTGATACCTCAGAAGTCCTCACCAGTGGAAACGACCTGCTTCCGATTTCAGGTCCCAATCTTTGTTTTATTTTGTTTTCAATCCAACGAATTGAGCATATATAGGGTTTGTTAGGTCTCAAAAATTTTTAGAGCACTTGGAAGCTGTAGAATTTTGCCAGCATTTGGCTTATTCAGCGTTTTAGGAGGTGCGTTGTTCATGTTCGAGCCCTTGCCATTTTCAGATGGGAAACTCATTTGTAACGCGATAAAACTATTAGAAAAAATAATTGTGGCCTGTAACTGATGTATTGACAGTTTCACATTCAAGGCTATGTTAGTTTAATAATTTCTGGTTTGCGAAAAACTTTTCTGTTAGGCATACTATTGCATGTCCGTGCAGTATGCTAGTTGCATACAATGTGTTGTTTATCATATGATAAACTTAAATACACAGCTATTGGATCTATAATTAAAATGTGTTTGCGCCAACCCCCTATTGGTTGTTTTCTTCGCTAAATTGAAATGGGCAGTGACACGGGCTCTCTCAGAGCCGTGCCAGTTGAGCCACTTGGACCGGTCAGCCAAGGGGTTACTTAGGCCGACCAGCTCTTATTTTGAAGGCTAGGGTTGCCGCCCAAGGGGAGGGGTCTCTCCCTCCTAGTTATCTATTATATACAATTCATTTTTTTTGTTCTAGGGTTAGTTTTTGCTTTGAGATTTTCTATCAGGACAACCTCCAACGTCCCTTTTCTCTTTCTGGGGTTGTATCCGATGATAAGAAGGTGCTTCGGTTGTAACTCATTTAGGGGTGATATGTATCTCTCCTTTTTTGTTTGCTACTGCTGCTCCTTCAGTTTCTCTATTGTTGTCGCATCCCCCTCCAACCCTCTTCTGTTTGTCGCAACCCATCCAACCCACCTGCTACCGCCCTTTCATTGTTTCCTCAACCACCAGCACCAAAATCCTCCACTGTTGCTTCCGCAAAGTCCACCCGCAATCCAACCTGCTGCCACAATCCCCCTCCATTTTATAAGCTGTGTCGCTGACCCTCCCTACAACCTTCCTACTGAGCCACACGTCATTATTTGTTTCTTCTGTAATGTCGTAAAACCTCCTATTTGTCTCCATCTGCAACTACCCCCTTATAGCCTCTACAACTCTCACACCCCCCTCCACGTACAACCACACCCCTTGCAATCCACTGCAAATTCCATCTCCCACAACAAGCTCCAATTTCGCTCCCACTCTGCAGGCAACCTCACACCCACCCCCCCCACCTTTTCCTGCTCTCTCGTACTTTTGCTTCATTCCCTACAACCCTCTACTACTGGCTGCAGCATCCCAACCAACCCACTACTTTGCTGCCCATCCGCAGTCCAGCGCCTTTTCATCCTCACCATAGGGTGTTGTTTGTGTTTGTGTTATTTTTCTATTGTCAGAGTCTTTGTTGTAACTCTTTTGAAACAAAACAATAATATTTGCATTTCAATTGTGGTTTGGGTTAAATTCTAGTATCATTTAGTATCAGAGTTAGCCTAACCCTAGTTCTATCATAGGGTTTCCTAGCATCTGCCTTATCCTTCCACCCAAAAGTTTTCTTTTCTATTCCCAAATCATTGACCAATTTTGACCTAACTCTAATTTCCCCTTGTTGATTTTCAAACTCAAATCCCAAATTAATTTTCCTACACCTTCAATTAGTCTTATACACCCCTTTCACCTTCCAACCCTCCCTATCTGTGTCACCAAGGAAATACATGCCCAGCCTAACCGGGAAGAGACACAATGAGAGATCCGTTGACTTCAGTAGAGGCTTAAGGATATGAAGGATGAAATCCTGGGGGAAATTACTCTCGATCGTGACAGGGAAAGTCGAAGAGGAGAAAGAGACGAGAATTTCAAGCCCTTCTATATGGAGGATTTCAATGATGAAGAAGAAATGTTATGATGCTTTGGAATCCAGTATTAGAGGAGGCCGCATATGGAGGTCACAGGGACTTTAGATTATAAGTAGATTTATTAGATTTTGATGGAGGTATGAATCCAGATGACTTTATAAATGACTACAATCAGTTGAGAGAATCTTTGAGTACAAATATTTGCAAGAAGATAAAAGGGTGAAGCTTGTAGCTATCAAATCGAGAAAGTGTGCCTTCTTGTGGTGGGAAATCTTGCATAGGCAGAGTAAGTGAGAAGGCGATGACAAGATTACCTAGCGGGAGAAGATGAGGAAGACGATTTAGAGAAATTAATTACATAATCACTACCGCTAGGATATGCTTCTGAGACACCACCACTCTAGTAGAGAGAGCTATCAATGGAGGAGTTCACGACAAAGTTTGACTAGTTGCTGATGAAGGGTGATTTGGTCAAGCCAGAGAAACACACCTGAGCAGTTGAAGCCTATTATTAGTGAGATCGTGCAACTGTAGTCTTATTGATCATTGGACATGTCCAGATCTTAGTTCTAAAGGTAGAGAGACAGTAGTAACAAAGCAAACAACCACCACCATTCAGGCGGCCATTGGAGACATCAGCTGAAGGGTGCCTCAGGGAGTTGAGAAAAATAGTTTGGATAAGGATAGAGCCACCGCAAGTGAGAAGATTCATGAGAAGAAAAACATTCCTACTAAAGTTCCCGCTTGAAAATGCTTTAGTTGTCATGGATTTTGGGCACATCTCCTCCAGTTGCCTGTGAACTAAGTCGTATCTTTTACTGAGTAGGGCGCTATGGAGGAGGTTAGCGTCAAGGAGATAACAGAGAAATAGGGTGAGGTGTATCATCTTCCATCAGATGAAGGAGAGATGTTTGTGATTCAACGGGTCCTACATAATGAGATACAATGGATTCACAATGGTTTTGTCACAATATAATCTACATCTATTGCGTTGTGAACGGGAAAGTTTGCAGTCTCATCATCGATAAGGAGAGCAGTAAGAACGTGGTGTCTACACATATGGTGGAGAAGTTAAACCTCATGATTCGAACACACTCCCAACCATATTCTCCGACGTGGTTGAAGAAGGAGAATGTGTTCAACATTGATCGGAGGTGCCTAGTGGAGTTTTTGATTGTGAGTCAGCAGCTGGATCAAGGTTTGTGTGAAGTGGTAGCCATAGATGCCTGCCATCTGTTGTTGGGGAAACCGTAACAATTTGACTTGCAGGACTCTACACAACGAATTCAAAAATACCTATTCCTTCATCTAGGAAGGGAAACACATCGTACTTCTCCCTTCGGCGGAGCCCGAGATCACAAGTGCCCTTGCTCGCAAAGCAACATTGGTGATAGGACTGAAACACTAGCTCTAAACACAGGACAATCATGATAGAGGGCATTTTAGGATATCACAGTCGATACCTTACCACCATGATCACCATCATTCAACGAGGTTTAAGTTACCCTCACTTCAGATTCATTTGAACCGACCGTGGATTATTTTGAGAGGATTCAACAGTTTATGCATGACACCCATTTCAACTTAATAGTGGACCACTTGATGATTGGATTGATATGGTGTGTCTGCATGTGAAGAAAACTCCTTCGGTATTTTGAGAGGCAGCGCTGTCGTTGGTGGGCTCTAGATGCTCCTCGGGCCACCATCAAAGGTTCGTCACCCCCACACCCTCTCCTGAGGAGATTCTAGCCACTCTGTCACCGTCAACGTGCAGACAGAAGCTTTGATGAATGAAGTCAAAGCTCTCCCAACCTCAGAAGACTAACGCAGGGCCGAATCGGCTGGGTCACTTGGACCAGTTCAGCCAAGGGGCAGATCGGCTCCTATTTTGTGGGCTAGGGTTGTCGCCCCAATGGAGGAGCCTCCTCCTCCGAGTTATCTATTATATATATTTGTTACTGATATTAGTTGATGCAATTTGTTTTGACATAATAGATTTTTTACTTAATTTGTTCTAATGAAAAAAGTGTGACTTTTGGTGATCAAATAATTAAAAGGTGTGAACTATTTAGAAATCTTGGGTCCGTTGTTCAAAGCGATGGTGATACAGATGGGGATGTTAATAGTAGAATTCAAGTTGGTTGGTTGAAGTGGAGGAATGCTTCGGGCCTTTTGTGTGATAGAAAAGTACCACTAAGACTGAAAGGAAAATTTTATAAGACGGTGGTGAGACTTGCAATGCTCTATGGCGCTGAATGTTGGTCTTTAAAAGAGAAGCATAATAATAAGTTAAGTGTTGTCGAAATGAGAATGATTAGGTGGATGAGTGGCTTTACACTTAGAGACAAAATGCGAAATGAATATATCCGTGATAGGGTTGGTGTAGCTCCCGTGACGGACAAAATTAGAGAAAGCCGTCTTAGATGGTTTGGTCACATTAAACGTCGACCATCTGATGATCCGATTAGGAGAGTAGATGTTTTAGATTCGACTTGTGTTAAGAAAGGTAGAGGTAAACCTAGGAAGACTTTGGCTTATTGTATAAAAACTGATCTTAATTTACTAGAACTAAATGAAAATATGACACTAAATAGGACGCAATGGAGAAAAAGGATTCATGTAGCCGACCCCACGTAGGAGATTATGGCTTTGTTGTTGTTGGTGAAACTAAGAAAAATACTTTTAAATCTTTATTGGAATTAATATGAAACAATTATTTTTAAGTTAAAGCTTGACACTTTTTTGGAAAACAACCCAAGTAAATACCACAAAATTTAATATTTAGATATTAGTATCATTTTGACGAGTTGTATTTAGTTGTGTCAAGATTAGATCAAGGAGCTCATACATAACAACCTAAGGGATTGGTTGCATTGAAAAATTTGCTCATAATGGTATGGAAAATATATAAGTTCAATCTTAACTTTTTTTTGTAGAAACTATTTCCTTTTTTCTTACTTTAAGAACGATATCATAAATGCTTGTCTATCAGAATTGAGCAGAGTTGTTATTCATGCATTGCATAAGATTAACCATCAGTCTGTGCAGTTTCGTCTCTGTTCTATTTCAATATCCAGCATTAAATGATATCTTACACAACCTGTAAAGTTTTTTTGTGGATTAATCAGTGGGCAACAGTAATTACTGGATTGCTTCTTGTATACAAAAAGTTTGTCTGATTTAATTGTGCTACATTTTACTCTCTTACACCACAGCAACTTCTCTAGCAAATCTGACTTTAAAAGGATAATAAAATTTTAAGTATTTATAAATAAACTGTGATATTAAAATTTAAAAACAGACCTTTGGAGAGTCATTTTGAACATCCTTGTTTGATATTCTCCTGTACTGTGGTTAAGCATATAAAGTCTTGATGATAGCTATTATTACGAGCGATCATAACTGTTACGCCTGAAATTACCAGTTACATTCCTTGTTATTTCAAACACTTCTACTTTTGCTGAACCATTTGTTGGACTTATTTAGGATTTCGTAGCAAGTGTTTATTGTTTGCAATGGTTGATGCAGTTCAGATAAGGATGAGCCAGATGTTAATGAGGACGAGACATCGATGCTTGGCTTACAAAGCTATTGGAATGCTTCTTATGCTCAGGATCTTGCAAATTTTCATGAACACGGCCATGCCGGTGAAGTATGGTGAGTAACTCACACTATGGAAAGAGTTATACTGAGGATATTTCCAAGCAAGGCAAGAAATTTTTTATCATGTGATTTACATTTTTGTTTTTTTTTTAACTTTTTGAAGCCATATTTGGAAAAAAGATGGTTGCTAGTGATAGCTTGGTCATGGGGTAGGATGGCTTTTTGCTTCCTCCATTATTCATATTCTTTGTGTAGTTGTTAGTTTTTTTTTCCCCTATAATTCTATTCAATTATCTCTTTTCTATTTTTAATTTCTTTGTGTTAATGTTGTTAGCTTGATTGCACAAATAAGTAGCCTATTGTGATTTTCCAGTGAACATGTTCACTGGTGAAGATCTTTGTTGTCTTCCATCTAAAAATATGCATCTTATCCGTACTTTTATTTGCATTTTCTGAACTCTCCTTCCGGAGAAATGAAAGTAAAAAAGTCCACAATCTATTAAGGTGTTATTTCTGTAGGTTTGGAGCTGAAGTCGTGGCCACTCTTGTGGCTTGGACCAAAAACCTATGTCTCAATATGCTCCGAGATCAGATTGCAGTTGTTGATGACAGTGATGGTAGATATGCATCAGTTGATATATCCAAACATTTATCTGGCTGGAGTGTTTTGGACATAGGAACTGGGAATGGTTTGCTACTACAAGAGCTTGCAAAGATTGGGTACTTCACAGATCTGATTGTTCAACTTATAAAATTCCAACCTACTCGTTCACATAACGAAATAGTCACAAATATTTTAAAGAGAAATGTTTCATTTGCTTTTTATTTGGATTACAAATGCTTTTTTTTTTCTCTCATTTGTTTCGTCCGTTCTAAGCAATCTGATACCATGTGAAGCATCTTTTCTGATTTGTAGGAAAGAAATTGAAAACCTAGATGTGATTAAATTAGTGAAAGCTCAGTTGGATTTAATTAATATGCTTGGTGATGGCTATTTTGAAAAATAGCTTCATTAAATGAAAAATCCTGATTATGTTCTGGTTATTTAGTTTGAATTCATCATTTTTGTGCCTTCTGTGCTCACTAAATGATGCCACAACTTCTTAACCTGGTCCAGAACTGCTTTTGGGCCATTGGCTGCTTGGTATCCTGGTTATGTACACAAAACCATTATGTTTTCATGATTTTTTTTTCTCAAGTAAGGGAGAATCTATACGCTGAGCTTTTTGTTTGCTAGAAAAATACGAGTTATTAAGTTTATGCTTTATTTGCTGAGAAGCCAATATTTTGAAAGTTCTTTTAATTTGGTTCTGGAATTATGTAGTTGAGTTTCAAACTAATGGTTTAAGCAATATTGTACAGCCGTTTCATGCTAAGATTTGGATCCTATATTTATCGAGCAAAGAAATTTAATAAATTACTTAAGAAAGATTCAAGTAGGGGAAGGGGGTTTTAATCGCCGAATTTGGGAGTATAGATATTTTAGCATTACATTTTTAAACTGTTCTCATTAGAATCATGTGTCTTAGAAATTAGAAAGAAAGGGGATATTGACATGTTAAAGGGTGAAAAAAAGAGTTAAAAGATGGACTTTGTATGCTTCAAGATGGCACAAGTCTTGGATTTAATCAGTATAATTACATAGGCATAATGGTTGGTTATTATAAAAAATTATTGTAATATTATATTAATAAAAATATAAGTATTTTATACATTATTATTGAATTTTAATGAAGCTTAAATTTATATACATTTTAATTTAGATTAAAGCTATAATCAGAATTCGACAATAAATAAAATGCTCGGTGGTGCATAGTGAACTGAAATTGCATGTTAGTGCCATATTTTTCTAAAAATTAAAGATAAGCTAAAGCACAATTTTTAGTTTTGAGAGATGCGTACCTTAATCAATTTAACCGGTGCAACATTTTTCGGGATCTACATTGCCATTATCTTTCTTTAATGGGATCAATACTTGGTTCCATTTGAATTTCTCTTTTTGCTTTGCTAGTATTAAATTGATTTGCTCTTCATGACATTATTCTTACCATTCTTTGGCATGCGGCTCTGCCCTAACCTGTATGAAATTTTTAGGCTTAAATTATCTAGTTAGGCCATGAATAAATCTCCCTTTGGACTGGGGTACCACATGATTTTAAAAATATGTGGCTTGCATTTTCTTTCAATATCTTCCTTTCTGGTGTTATGATTGGTTTCTTGATGTTCCAAGCATAGCTTTGGTGGTATGATGGGTTTCTTGATGATTACAGCAAGCTTTGGTGGTCCCCCTAAGCTTCCACTTTTATATGTGAGACCTGGTGCTCTTCTTCAGAAACTTAACTTCATTCAACTCTATATCTATCTTTGTCTCCCTTCCTCTCTCTAGTCCTTATTCTCTTGCCTTCCTTCCCAATGAGCTTGAATCTACCTATTGCATGACAACTGAAGGTTAAGTCTAAGGTGCACCAAAACGTCCAACATAGCTGAGTTTTGAACAAATATGTGAGTCAAACTATTTAAAAAGCATAAACCCATAGTCTGATTCAATTAAAGATTATTTGTACAGTCTGCAAGTCAACATAATTGATGGTCTGGGCCTAATCTACGTACATGAGAGAATTGTAGATGATATTCACTTTCTATCCCATCTCTTCCTTCATCATTAGGAAAGGTTTTAGTTGTGCTCCTAGATATTTTGTTGTTCATTATTGCTTAATTATAGGCCTGTGTTTTTGTATGACTATTCATTGGAAAATAGCTAAAACCATAGCCTCATCCTCAAAAAAATCTGGAATGTTGGATATTCCAGAGTAACTTTTCTTTGGATATGTTTATGATTTTTTCTGACTACATTTTATTGACAATATTATTGATATATGCATGACAGTCCAAGTACAGTTATTTTATGTCATCTGAAGTAAGTTTGGTTTCTTAATCTACCAATTTGTTTCTCATTCCTTCAATTCCTTTATAAAGATTTAGCCACCTTAGATCCTTCTAATGTCCCTTTGAAGTTTAGCCACCCATCTATTTTTTTTTTATTATTGAAAACCCATCAGACATCTCAAGTGTAAACTTTGGGAGACCTTGAATGTTTAGATTATTTCCATGGACTCTCTCACAACAACAGTGTATTTTGGAGTATTATCCATTAAGAACTTTAACAAGGAATGCACCTCACCCTTTTATATTTTTTATTGGGTTTATGTTACCAAGTGAGATTGACAAAATAGCTTTCTCATTGGATAAGTTCATTACCATCCACTTAGATAACTCCATTCGATTTTGAAGCTGTATGGCTTAGTGCTCAATGGCGATAACCAAGTATCCTCTCGATATTGAGTGCTATTTGAACATTAATAGGTGAATATCATAAAGTTGGGATCAATTGATGTAATGATACGTAGCTGACTATGATTGAGCAGCCAATTAGAATCAAGTTCTCAACTACATTCTTAGGTTGGCAAGGCGTCCATTGACCCTTTTCCCTAGTTTTCAAGGCTTGATTCATCAATGATTTGTCCCATATTATCATGTCAAACCAATTAGGCCATATATAATGCCCTAGATGCATTTTTAGTGCGGTCAACTGTGTTAAACTCAATTAAGTTATGATATGTTTGAAAGGAGTACCTATAAAAGCTAGTAGGAAAGCAGATTAAAAAGGATTTGCTTGACGCAAAGTTTTCAAATAATCTTGCATAGACTATTACTAAAGCCAAGTGAAAACCCAAGACGGCCTCACCTATAAGGTCCCGGTTAACTACACTCAGAATACTCTAAGGAGCTGACTGAGTTAGACCAAGTCTAATGACACTTCATTACAATCAAGCGACGTTATGAATTTACCCATCTCTTAATGAAGATTCAGAATACATGGTGTCATTAGACTTGACAAAGGTTGACAGAAGGCACATGACAACTATCACCCTTTTTATATACATGCCCATTATGGAACTCAGGGCATTGCCAACATTTTTGGAGAAATCGTCAAAGGAACATCCTTGATATGAAATCTAAAGGGGCACAGAATGCATAGAAAATAAAATATCAAATATATGACACTTATCAACATTAAAATGTTGAAATCTTATCATCTTCCTTGAATTATAAGCACATGTGCTAAAGTAGTTGTGCTCATAGTCTTCCATAGAGGGAGAAAACCTATTCTGCAAGTGTGGCCGTACCATATGAAGGGTGAATATAATAATATACAAGCAATTAGAGGAAGGAACGAACCACAAAACAAGTTATTGGGCATGTTGTCATCATCTTTTTGGGTTTTGTAACTCCAATTTCAAAGAAAAATCTGTTTATTTTCCATTGCTCCTCTCAGTGTCATCCTTATCTCACTTTTCTTTGAACTAATTGATTGTTATTTTCCCCTCTTCATAAAAACTGTCATTTAGATTCTGTTGTGAACCAAATTTAGATTTTAACATCATTTTTTAGTGCTCTAGTTGAGAGATTGAAATCATAGAGTTGATGAGAAAAAGGATATGATACAATCTTTTGTGCATTAAGAGGAATATTATTAAGAAGCAACAACTGGTGATATACATTAATTGCAATTGAGTTTGCTACTTAGGCCAAATTTAGTTAATTAAACCTTAAAGCTTGATACCATGATGGGAATGGTGGAAAACTTGGTTACTATTTGGGTTTCCAACCTTTCTCTCCGTGCAAAGCTTATCGTCAACATTGAAAAGTTGGGGAAACAACATGCCCAGTACCACACAACTAACTTAAAAGGCTACATGTCAACAAGCATGTGGATGCCCTCCCCAAGATGCATATAGTTTCTACGCTGCTCTAATACCTATTAGTAGGGAACCACTTCTCCCTTGGTTAAAGGTCACTTAGATTCCTATTAACGTCTATTAGCCTATAAGAACACCTATTGGGGCATACAATCTCTAGAGAAATCCTGCTTTTCACCTTAGCACATATACGAAGTTATGTTCCAAAAATAGGCCCTTAATTTTTATACTCTCAAAACCAAAGAAAATTTCACACCTTCTTTTGCTTAAGTAGGAGAAAAATGTGTTCTTAGGCGTTCATGCCTTGGTTTATGCAAGAATTGTTAGAGGTTTTGGACTATGAACTTACATTCACCTAAGTGACCAAGGTGTAAGAACTCCATGATGGGCGATTCAAATATACCATCATGAAGAAAATGCCTGAAATAATGTTATAACTATTTTGAAAGGAAAACAAATGTATTAATGTTGATGAATTCACTAAGGTTCCAAGGACTAATCATCAGCAGAGCCAGCCACAAATGCAACAGAAGTTATGTGTGTTGTATCGAGCGTTCTAGTAGATTTCGTAACTTTCGCTCGTGATACATGGACCGGCAAAGCTTGTAATGATGAGGCACACTTGTTTCTCAGTTTATCACAATAGCTCATTGAAGCCCTTTATGGCTATTTCCATTGGTTGCAACAATTCTAGGTCATGAGTGCCACTTATAGCTAGAAAATATTTTGGCTCACCCAAAAACTATGGACCCAAAAAAGTTCTGTCATAAGCACAATTACCGTGATCATAAAACCAAAAGGATTGTCATTATCTTTGGGCACTATTAGAGTAGTTCTTGAAGGAGAGACACCTAAAGGAATTTCTAGTGGCCTTTCTAGGAGTGATCAAAGAATACACTGACTAACTAGGCTTACTCAGCCACCTTCTAGCCAATCGAACTCATTGATACTATTCTAAGGAGCGGAGTAAAAGTTGCTCCTCAATCGATCTTATGGAAGATACAGGTGAACGAGTTAAATATTTCTCGTATCCACACTTTTTTTTATAAACTACGATTTAGCCGCTAAAAATATCTATAATGGTGTAATGCTTGTCAAAGCACTATACAATTAGTTTGAAATATTATGAATCCTTGTCAATTCAAGAAGTTCCATTAATATTCCCCTTGTCCGTGAATTGAAGTGGCTCTAGGCCACCAAAAGCCCATAAGGTGTAAGAGTCACTGATCAAGTTGTTTTGTGAAACAATTGCCTTGGAGGGGATCAATGTTAATAGTTGTGTGAAGGGATAACCACTACCATAGGATTAAGAGAATTTATTCATGGTCTTATGGGCCCCATCAAACTAAATCGACATCTTTGGTTGAAGCCTTAAATCATTTTTGAGTAGTTTTCACTTGCCACTTTTAATTCTCAACTCCCTATGAGTTGTGCTAAAGCAATCAATACTCTGCAATTTTAGCTCCATCTAAAATCCAAATTAATACTACAATACACATTGATCAATAAATTGGAAGGATTTGAACATTAAAAACTAGTCCCACACAAAATTTTTCAAGATTTTCAAATAATTTTGCTCTCGACATATTATTATCGAATTCATTTTTTTTAATTTAGGAAATATTGACATTTTTTTGCATGCAATTTGTATGAGATTCCTGTGACCTAGAATCAGGTTAGAAGGCTAAAGGAATTTGTACAAATTGCCCGATACCTATGAAACTATGTTTTTATGAAATCGACCAGGCTAGAGAGAGAGAGAGAGAAAGAGAGAGAGGTAGAGAACCCACTAAGCAAATTGTGGTCTAGTTTTTTTATGGTTCTAGAAATCTTTATTCCCAATGGAGGGAGGGGAGAAAGAAAGATTAAGGAGAAAATTTAATTCAATTTTCTTAAACTTAAATTTTACATTCTAAAGATCTTCTATTTATAGTTAAGTAAGAACTAATAATATCCATTTATAATACGACTAAATGCATAAATTTAGAAATCCTTGTTCTACCTGTCATGATTACGCACTTAACACTCCCTTGAAAGAAATAATTTCTCATAGATTATTTTTAAAAAGTGGTCAACCCTCAACATAAGGAGGAGAAATTGATAGTGAATATTGATGAAATTGGTAGTAGCTCTGGTGTCAGAGTTGTAACTATGGGTGATCAAATATGTGAACTTTTTAAATATCTTTGGTTTACTATTCAAAGTGATGGAGATTTATATGGGGATGTTATTAGTTGAATTCAACTTTATTGGTTGAAGTGGAGGAATGCATCTGTTCTATTTTATGATAGAAAGGTACCGCTTCAACTGAAAGGAAAATTTTATAAGATGGTGGTGAGACTTGCAATGTCTATGGCGCAGAATGTTGACCTTTAAAAGAAAAGCATAAAACAAAGTTAAGTGTGAGATGAGAGAATGCTTAGGTGGATGAGTGGCTTGACACTTAAGACAAAATGAGAAATGAATATGTGCGTGATTGGGTTAGTGTAGCTCTAGTGGCATATAAGATTAGAGAGAGTCGTCTTATATGGTTTGGTCATATTAAATGTCGACCATCTGATGTTCCTGTTAGGAGAGTAGATATTTTAGATTCTACTTTCTTAAGAAAAGCAGAGGTGGACCTAAAAATACTTGGACATATTGTATAAAAAATGATCTTAATCTATTAGAATTAAATGAAAATATGACACTCAATAGGACGCAATGGATAAAAAGTATTCATTTAGCCAACCTCACTTAATAGGATATAGACTTTTTGTTGTTCTTGTTGCTCTCACAAATTTAATAATCATATATTAATGAAAAATTCAAAAAATAATAAATAATAATAAATTATAAATAAGATTGATGCTTGACTAAGAATGTTATCTTAAAAAGATAAAGAAATAGAATTATTTTTTTATGCAAGTTAAATGGCTTGTCCATTTTTATCATTCCATATGGTGATCTTTATAGAAGACCAAACCCATATACATGATTTATTTGAATGATGCTTGGCTTTCTGATGAGGTCGGCATATTTTGATTGATTTTGGAAAATATAATAAAAAGAATATGCTCAGTAATGAGGATATATTATAATAATAAATAATACAAATTCTTATTTTAAATAAGTTGGCACATATGATGATTTATATTTATAACATTTTTCTGTAAACTCAAGATGATGTATAAGATGTCAAATTGTGTTTGATAAATGAGTCAAGGATTTTGTCGCCTTATAACTGTCATAAGAGTAGTGCAACCGATTCATCAAAGAGAATTTGTTCCAAAGAGTCAATGATGAGATTTGTACCATATAAGATTGATAATACTCTTGAATGGATGTATCAATGAGGAATGTGATGAAGAGTATCCGAGAGTGTCTTTAGAGATTATTGATAGAAAGCATCGACACAATGAGTCAATATTGAAGAAAGCAAAAGAGATCACTTGGCACTGATACCATGTTAGAAAGGAGAGAAACTTATAGAACACCGACTTTATTGCAATGTCTTCTAGTTTAAGCATTCATGTTTATATAAATTGATAAGAGAAGAATAAAAGAAATATTATAAATAAGAGCTTCCTTAATTTCGAAAATATTCTTTTAATAATAGTACAGATTCAAACTAGGAATTATAAGCATGTATAATAATTTATATATACTAGCACCCCTTAACAACTCCAGTTTCCATAGAAGATATTTGTGAAAATAGTAAGTGGCTAGAGATTAATTCAGAACCTTTGTTGCTTAGATGAGGAGTACTGTAAGAGCATGACCGATTTGTAGATGTGAGTTGTGTGAATCGAACACAAAGAGTTGATAGGAAAGATGGCACAAATAAGTTCCTAAAAAAAAATGTATTCGTAGATACTGTTGATGAAGTTATATGAACAAATAATATTTATGAAGAGGATTGGTGGAGAACTTTAGTTGAAATATTAAGCCTAAAAGGTATTGACACAATCACTGTTAGAGAGAAGAGGCAGATCATAGAGGTTTACGAATATGCGACTTGTGAGAAATAAAAGAAGGTGCACAAATCATTCAATGTTCAACCACGAAGATGAGGTTCTTGTGGAGAGAGAAGTCGGTAGAGTACAAGCAACTTGTGGTTAGAAGGAAGTGTGAGAGTAGGACAAGGGAGACAAGTTCAGAGTTGCACTGAGGGGAAGGCTTTTAGAGAATTTTGTGGGATATTAGGCTATGACTATTATGTCATGCTAAAAGGGAGAATTAGGAAAAAAAATGCATCTCAACTAAATTGACATTCTAGTACAAAAAGAACAATAAAAGCAAATATAATAAATCATAATATCTTAAATAATGAGGAATATTATAATAATAAATTGTGCAAATTCTTGTTATTAATAATTTAGAGCATATTGTAGTTAAGATATCATAACGATACTCTTTTTTTATTACCATATTGTATCATTTACAATTTTACATGTTCGGGAGTATCACAGAAACTGCCTTCAGTCTGTCCTCTGTATTGTACGGTATAAGTTTGGTACACATGCACGAGAAACACATTTTATTCTTGTTATTGTTTTGTATAATATATTGACATACATTGTGCTCCTAACATCCGATCTGAATGCACTGCTTTAAGGAAGCCATGCATAACCTTTTATCAAAGGTATATTTACTTACATTCCATCATAGTCTTTCTTATTTACAATACTAACACCTAAACATTTTAATTGAACTGTTAACTCATATATTTGTAGTTGACACAATCAAATTATTAAAATTTTATAATTTTCCAGAAATGAAGTGCATAGTTTTTTGTTTTAGTGAACATTTCGGTGCTGTCATTGAAACAAGTTGTCTTTGATATTGTTTTCATAAATATATGTGATTTGAGTGTTACTCACTAGAAATTACCCTCCCATTTGAGTATACAAGTTGAATCAAAATTATCATGTTTATCCTATTTGACCTTTTTACCCTCAACCAACCAGCATACCTACATGCAAAAGAGTGTAAATGTAAATTTCTTCAAAGCAAATATTTAGTTACATTCCATGGATGTGGGGTATTTGGCTAATACTTAACTTTATATAGTATTATTGTGGACAACTGTTATGGATTCTACGAATTTATAAACTGCCCTCGTAATGCCTACTTAATGCTTCTGAAGTTTCACTGTTCTAAACATTATTTTTTTAGTCTTTATATTTTTCTCAGTTGGTTAAAATCACTGGATCTATACGGTGCTCGGGTTACTTTTCTTCTCACGATTCATCTAAAAAACTGAAGCTTTTGAATTTTATTCCCAGGTTTTCTGATTTGACTGGAACTGATTATTGTGAAGGAGCAATTGACCTTTCAAGGAATCTTGCAGCCCGCAATGGATTTTCGCTAATAAAATTTTTGGTATGGTAGATTTTGTTATCAAAATTATCGTTGTATTTTTCTTCCTTGAGCTTTTAAGTACAAGTTTGCATCTTTATCAACTTTGAATTTCCCTCTTTACATAATAGTGTTATTTTACTTCCAAAAGTCTTGAAGATGCAGTGATTGGTGAAATTCCAAGCAGTATGATTAGCTTTTTTCTTTTTTATGAACGAGTCTGACCACACAGCCCTTTCGTTTGAGAATAATTTTGAATATATTTTCTAACCACTCAAATGCATGCAACTCTTTGTATATTAGTAGCAGGTTTATGAAAATGCGATGATCTTGATCCTGACAAGTTTATTTAGGGGACATTTTGGGATCACTTTTTTTTTATTATTTTTATTTTATTTTGTTTATATTTTACTTAAAATAAAACATATTTAGTATGTTATAATATATTCCGTTGTTTTTAAAAACACTCAAAATAATTTTTAGATGTCGAGTGTTTATAAAAATGAGTTAATTTGTTTTTTAAAATAAAAAGTAGAAACATGCAAAAAATGTACTAAACAAATAGATTTTTAAAATAAAAGTAAAAATAAATCCCAAACAAGCCCTTAGAGATTGTGATTTTTACTTTTTATACAGTTACTGCATTTTTTCAAACATTCTGGCAATTTATCCTGTTTGGTCATAATGCATATGCTTGCAGGTCGATGATGTACTGGAGACAAAATTGGACAATAAATTTCATCTAGTTATGGACAAGGGTACCTTGGATGCCATTGGTTTGCATCCAGATGGTCCAGTTAAGAGGTAACTTCATCCTAGTTACATGAAATCTTTGCTTTTCAGCTTGAATTGATTTTCTGATGTCTGATTTATCTTGGCACAAAAATTGTAGGGCTTTTCTTATAATTGTAAATTAAAAAAGATCATTTACATACATACCACCCAATTCCTACTTATTTACACATCTAACACCTAAATCTTGTTTTGTAAATCTATACCACCTAAATCTTTCACATCACCTAAAAAATACCCCCATTTTAACTTTTAAAAATGGAAATCCACCTTTCCATTCATAAGTAAGGTGTTAGATACGTGAATACATAAGAATTGAATGGTGTGCATGTAAGTCTTCCATTAAAAATTGTGTGCGGAGAGTTGTGCTATGTTTAAGCTTTTTAGCTGCAGATTCAAACCACTTTTGAATGATCATTTCAATACAATAAAACCGTTGTCATTTGTGAGGCGCAAAGTTGATGGGTCAGATTGAACGCTCAGAAAAGATGAATGGGCTTAAAAAGTTTAGGACCATATTGATTATTTACTCTTAAAACCTTTAAAATCATGAGAGCTGCTGTTTGTGGTTGATTTGGTTTTGACATATTGTCTTGTTTGGCTGAATATTAGACACATTAGTTAACGCATTAAATCTATAACCTCCCCCTTCTATCAGGACTGCTGCATTTCGTACTAGTTGCTTATATGTTCTTGGATAGCATCAGCTATTCTGTTTTATAATTTCTGTAGTCTGACACTCTGACTGATTATCTTCTGAAATCATCAGGCTCATGTATTGGGATTCGGTTGCCAAACTGGTAGCTCCTGCTGGAATACTGGTCAGTGTGCTATAATTTAAGCATGTTTGTTCTGGGATCTTTGAACTTATTCTTTAGCTCAATTACTAAATGGCCGCTTGGGATCACTTTTGATTTTGATTTTTTGTTTTTTTTAATTTATATTTTATTTTGTTTATATTTTAATCTGAAGTAAAACGTGCGTAACAGACTATAACAAGTTTAGGCATTTTTAAAAACATTCAAAATAATCTTAGGATGTTTCGAATGTTTTAAAAAATAAACCTATTTATTTTTTAAAAGAAAAAATAAAATCATGCAAATAATACACTAAAAAAATGATCCCAAACAAACTTCAAGTAATTGAGGAGACATTCAATGATATCCTATGGTTCACAACTCTAGGTTATTACATCATGCAATAACACAAAAGATGAACTGTTGCAAGACATGGAAAATTTTAATGAGAGAAGGCTCAGCTCCAACGGCCAGGCACGAGATGAGGGTAGCAGGGGCTATTTGTTCAAGTACATTGATCATGTCAGAACATATCCGTCCCTCGTGTTCGGCGGCGTGGAAGGAACTCGAGTGTCCACTGTTGCTTTTCTGAGGACATGAGCCTGAAATATGAACCCATCTTTTCCCTTCTTTAATATCTAGTATGCATCTGTAAGACTGGTTAAATTTGCCATCTTTATCAAATGATCCTACATGTTCTATAGTTGTTATAAAGTGATGTGTTGTTAAGGTCAATGTTATGAATGAAAACGTGATACAAACACGTAGAAAATCTCATTATAGCTTGTTGTCTAGCAAATCAATTCGGTCTGAAGATAGCTTCTAATCAGGGGAATTATGGGTGTTTCAGATTGAGGGCAGTATTTTAGTTTATTTTTATATGAGCATTTTGTCGTTAAATTTGATGATATCGTTTGGATAAAATGGTTTTTTCCATATTTTATTGAACGGAAAATGTTTTTATTATTTGTTTGGCTAAATAATTTGTCATGACTTTGCTCATTTAAAATATTAAAATGCTCATATTTTAACTAAATCTATAGTCTCTCATCTACCACTAATTTTATTAAAAAAAAAATTAAGACTAATTTTATCAAAAAAAATTAAAGATATATTATTTTATTATTTTAATTTTGAATTAAAAAATCATAATTATTATCCACTGAGGTTGTCCTTTTGAAAAACTTAGCTAAACAAATGTGGAAAAATAATTAATTTGCTTTTCTTTCCTAATTTTGTATAGCTTTTGGCTCTAATCAGAGCCTTATAAATGTAAATACTATGCTTTTTATATGTTAGTTATATATATATAATTTATTTAGGGTGCAGTGGATAACTTAAAGTCTTTTTAGAGCAGCTGCAGCTTCTCAGCTTTTCAGTTGTAACTGCGGGGAAGTTGACTATCTGTTTGTTGCAGCTATGTGAGAACAGTTGTTTCTATAAAAATGACCAATCTACTCTTTAGTAAAACTGTTTAAAAGAAAATATAAAATAATTTTTATATTAAACAAATAATTTATTAAGCAATAAATTTAAATTAATAAATAATATAGTTTTGATAATTAAGAACATAGAAAATATTTTTATAAATTAATTAATTGATCAATAAATAACAATATATAAATTCGTTTAGTTATGATTAATTTGAAACTAATGAATTAATCATTCATTGTTAATAAATTTATACTTAAAATTGCACAATGTATTTTTGTAATATATATTTTGTTTTACTCCAGTCATCTTATAAGAGATATTTTACATACAATCGATGTTAAAGTGCATGTGTTGACATACAATCGATGTTAAGTATGACATTGCAAGTTTCAAACTAGGGAAACACCAGTAGGTGCAACAACCATAAAGTTTATTAGTTCAAAAGATATAATAAGTCACTATTAAATCTGAACATTCTATAAATTTCAGCTCGCCAAATCGCGAAAAAAAACAACAATTTCTCTTCAACTAAACAAAAAATCATTTTGATCTTTTTTTTTAGCCCAATTTCATACAAACAGCCCAAAATTTGTTATTTATAAATCAATCACTCTCATTCATCTATTTTTCAAATTCTCAGTCAAATTTTAAAATTAATGATAGTCTTTTCTCAAATTTTTTATTTTTTATCAAATTCTAGTTTGATCGTGACACACATAAATACATCGACTTGATAGTTAAGAAAAATCATACAAGCGATTAATTTGTAAATATCAATGTTTCAAGTGGTCCCTATATAATTATCCTTTTTTTTAATTATTTTCCTCAATTCTTTTTTACATTTCTCAACTTATAATTCAATAAAAAAGAAAAAAGAAAATATAGCACGCGCACACGCGCTTACGCGCTTCTATAAATGACAATGATAAAAAAGCTGAATTGAAATTGATTTTCACCCACTAATTTAGTCGAAGAAAATGAAGTAATTTTTTTTTTCTTTTTTGTCCGAGGAAAATTCAGTCTTTATTCCATATGAGAACAGTCTTTCTACGTTGAATTTCCGTGAGTTTCAAATACACTTATTTGGGTAAATGACGATGCCACTAGGTTCGCAACAACGACACTTTGTCCTCTGCTACCTACCGTCCATCACGCACCAATAGGTCCAATCGCTAATTGCCTTTTCCGTTGTTGGCAGCCGCCGACCGTTGTGGTTTGTCATCTCCACCCCGTCGCCGCTTCAGACAACTATCATCTATCATTGCTACTTTCCAGAAACTATAACTTGCCGCCCGCAGCCCGCTGCCCGCCTCAATCATTTATTGATGCCAATTATCAGCCATCATTACCTTCGACCGCCGATAATTGTTATCGACGTCTAAGCCAACACTAGTCCATCACCATTGTCAATCTTTAACCGATTATTTTTTTATTTTAAATTTATTTTTCTTCAAATCAAATTGAATAAAAAAAAAAGTTTTGGATTTATTTCACACAGAGCCAAATAATTTTAAAATATTTCAAATATAATATATGATTTAATGCGACATTATTTTTACACATTATTAATTAAATTAATAAATAGTTTTTGAATTTATTATTTCTTATCAAACCTAATGAAAAAAAAAATCAAAATTTATTTTTATGGCCCAATTTCTCCTCTCAGAAAAATAAAATATCCTCATTAGCTATACAAGAAAGCAAAAGCTTTTAAATGGAACTTATTTAAATTATTTTTTTTTTCATTTTCATTTGAGAAATTTGACTTTATATGCCACTTAATAGTAAAAATGGAGATTCAAGTAAAAAGAAATTTGGCCTTTTCTTCTTCCGGTTTTTTTTTTTTTCGATCATTATTACTCATATGTGATTGGTTTGAGACAATATTAGAAATAACATTCCTAATTTTCATCGCCATAAGTTTGAAAATATGGTTCACAACATAAACTCTAAGCTCAATAGAACACTAGGCATTATATTTTTTTGCTTCTAATATTGATTGAAACGTATTTCATCGCTGCTCGAATCTTCTTTTCACTCTGAATCCTAAACATATAACGACATTAGACATCATGTTGTATGCTTCAAATATTGAATAGAACTTGTTCCAAGCTTCATCCAATTTTATTCACACTCATGGTACTAAACTAAAATGGCATAAAATATCATGCACTTTGCTTCAAATGTTGATAGAAACTTTTTTGAACTTTAATAAAATATTTGTTGAACTTCGTTGAACATTTATTGAATCTTGTTTGAATCTAATTCAAATCTTATTTGTATTTTTGAACAATATTCAGAAAAGGTTTTAATGGGGTTCAACCAGGCCGATAATCTATTCAAACAACATTCAAGTAATATTTAATTAAGGTTCAAACAAGGTTTGAACAAATTTTGATTATGTTTCAAGTGTGATAATGATTCAAACATAGTTTAAATTTATGTTATTTTATCTTTGTTGGCTCTTTTTAAAATTAGCTCATTTTAATTATAACATTATGGTTGCATATGTCTACTCTAATAATACCTAAATAGATGAATTATATTGCTTGAACCACATACAAAGCTTGACATAGAAATTATTAAGAAATTTAAAGTGGAAGATTTCATTATGTTCAACAAGAGATGCAATGACATAATATTTTATATTATTAACAAATGTGTTGCTGAAAATCAAAACAATGGTAGGCATTTATTTCCTTAAGTGAATCAACTCACTATCATGTTTTATTTAATGAGTGATTTAAATCATAATGATCTTCATTAGCTTGCACAAATTGTACATTTATTTTTTGTATGCAAGTTGTATTAGTTTATGGTTTAAGAATTATAATTATATTGTTACTCTAATTTTTATTTTTTAAAAAATAATATTACATATTATATGCACAATTATACTATCCTCTAAGAGGTACACTTAATTGCATATAATTTCATGAGAATGTTTTTTATTGTCAACTTCTTAATTTACATATGTTATGCTATACATATTGTACTATCTTTGGATTGTATTTTATTTCGTGAAGAATTTTGTGCATATTTTGAATTACATTATTATATCATGATTGTTAGTTATATATTCTAAAGTATAGTTTAGATTATTATTATTGAAATATATATACATATATGTCCAATCAGTTGTCTTAGCTAGAGTATTGTATTAATCATAGAGCTAACTATTACTTTATACTTATGCACTTATCTAATCATGTTATGGTCAAATCATGTAAACCCTTTGGTTAGATCTCCTTCTAGTGTAAAAGTTTTCTCTTTTGTTCTATTTATTGTTTGCAATAGGTGTCTAATAATGACAATACTTATATAAGGGAAACGAGAGTTAATCTTTTTGAGTTACCTCTAAATTCATATTGTCAATATTCATTTATATAGCAAGAAGCTCGTTTTACATAAGTTGTAGTTTAGAGAGATAAGGTCCTAAGGATGTGAAGCAAAACTTTTTATTGAAAAGAAAGGCCATGTTAATAATTGATTAGCATACTCTCGTGTGATTGAGAAAACATACATTATAGATGTTGGTTAATATAATGGCCACTATTAATGATGAAAATTTTAGGAATAAAATTAAGTATTGTTGACCTCACTTTTGGTTTAAGTCTAGTTTTTCCTCTTTAGTAGCAGTAGCCTAGGTTTTTCCTCTTTAGTAGCCTAGGGTCTAGTCATAGGACTTTCCTGTTAACTATTCCTAGAGGACTAGAAAAGGAACCCTGACCATTAGAAATTCTACACTATTTTCTGCTTAACTTGAAGTTCCACATATTGATTCAAACCTCTAGCACAACCTCTAGCACTTAGTAGGACTAGCACTTAGTAGGAGGGGTCAATATGGTGGAGCTCAAGGAGAGTTCCCATAGGATGGTCAAGCCTTAATTCTAACTTTGGGTGGTCTGGTCTTCGTTAGGCTAGCTTGCACACACTACACTTTTTCACCCACCCGCAACTTTAAGAACACTTGCCCTTGATTTGGTCTCTTGACTCCTTTTGGAAAGCTCATATAGATGGACCCAAACTCGCAGCCCTTAGCTAAGTGGGTTAGGACCAGCATATTGAGCATCCAAAATGAGTCCTCATATGGCTCCTATTGGTTTGACATGACTTTATGGCTTACTTGCCCATCATAGTCCAAAATAACCAAATTACCAAAATACTCCCACAACCCCAATTTTTGCCAAAATTCCCAAAATTACCCAAAACACCATAATTTGTTCAAAAGTCATTTCAAATCACTCACCACTGCATAAATTGACCAAAATTCACCAAATTCTCAAAATACCCCCAAAATTTATAAAAATTACCAAAAAGCCCCTCATGACCCAAAAATTCCAAAAAATTTCAAAAATTCTAAAATCATCCCAAGTATTC